AACATAAAGCCCGCTTTTGATGTTGTGGATGTGAATTCTTATGTCAGCAACAGTAATTGCCCACATTACAGTTTCTAACATTAAGCACAATTAATAGTGCGGGATATATAACTCAAGTAGAATGCTATGCAGCTGTCGGACAGGCTCCAAAATGTCAGAGAGGAGCAAGATTAGCTCCATTAACTTATTCAAAAGAAAAAGGTCAAAAAGAATTACTTTACCAGTATCTGGCAACCACCTTATTTTTTTTATTCTTGTTTTGCAACTAATGAATTGTGCTTTCACGTTTTTTTTGGGATAAATAACTAAAGATCTTTAATATTTAACAATCTGTTAAGAAACTTTCACAAATCAGCAATTTTCTTGTCCCACTACCTCAGTAATATAGCATACAGAAGACATCCAAAGGGCAGTTTGTGATCAGCATCTAAACTCTTTTAAGACTATTGCAGAGACACATCAACCATCAGTTTGACCCATTATACAAGTAAAATTTATGTCTTCATAGGCAACAAACAATTTCTTTTCTTTCCCAAAAGCTCTACTTTTCAGTCATAAAAAATAATAAACCATATCAGAATTTCATGACTAAATCCATTCAAGGAGAGTGTCAATGATATAGTTGCTTCAAGAAGCAACAAATAGGTGATCTGGTATAAGCCAAAAAGTATAGAAAAAGAGAGAAGTCAGTTTGCAGCATATATGATTTGACGAAATAGAGATCATCATGAAAGGACCAGAAAACTCATCTATTACATATCTATGCCTTTTCATTAAAAAGAGATTAAAATAAAAACGACAGCATGGAATACATAGAATCTTCAGTGAAATTTTAAAATTGCCTTTTTAATTTCATAATCTTTGTCGAATTTCTATATTTTAACTAATGAAACAAACTTTTCATAGACCAATACCTGTGAAATATGCAGACTTCAGCAATAAACTGAAGTTTTGCATAGAAAGGTGCCAAATTAGAAAATTCTCCAGCTAACTCAATTCTTCTAGCCTCTGCTGCTATCTCATCTAGCTCTCTCTTAATAGCATTATGCCAATGCAATACTTCATCTATTGGGTTTCCACGATCAGTATCACAAGTATCACCTTTTAGCCCGAATTTCCTTTTCCCAGTGCTGGATGATTCACACGCACACTTTACCTTTCCTGACGCACAAGAGACTGTGACGGAGTTGAAATCCATAGAACATTCCAGCTCAGCATCGATATCATGCCCACTAACTGCAGTGACACACTTTCCACCTTCCATCCAGGTGAAAATTACCTTCAAAAGAAAGAAGCATAGCAAACAACACTTTTAGAGGGACAATTAGAGAAAGACAAACGCGCGCGCGCACGCACACACACAGAGCAAAAATGTGGTTAGCATCTACACATTAACACACACAAACGCGCGCAAAAATAAAAAAGAAAAAAAAACCTGCTGGAGAAGCTTCTCTTTTGGAATAATCATAGACAAGCACTTCTGCATATTCTTGAGCTCATCAGGAGATATAGAAGATGAAAGCCAAGGAAGGAACTTTTTCATCATATTGACAGGAATGCTACAAAGGAACTGCCAAACAAGTGATGCCTGCTCATCATTTGAGAACTTCTCAATGAGCAAAGGAAATACCTGTAAGGAACATTAGTTTGAGTCAACAAACATGTAAACTATATGGATTTTCAAGGTTGCTTCTGATTTAATGAGATCAAAACTGACATCACATAGGACACAAGAACTATGCTACTTTGAAATCCAAAAGGACCTAATAACCCAACGACTGACCAGTCATGTTACACAAGCTAGGCTTGGTGTACTCTAGGGAAAACCCAACCCTTCTGTAAGCAACCAAGCAATGAAAAAACAAGATGAAACTAGGCTAACCAGTCAACAATGTCATCAATCCTCTCAGGCCAGTGACATGTCAAAAGAGTAACAGTCCCACACAAAACATACATATCTACCTGTTCTGAGAAGCAACAAAGTTCACTATCTGCAAACTTGACTTAATTAAGTGCAACGAAGCAATTTAAGGCATATCAGTGGAGAACAATACAGATCTCGTACGAAGTTTAGTAACTCTAAGTGTAAAAGGAAGCACATAGAGAGATGTTCATCCAAGTTCAGACTTGATATAGTAATACAACTGTTCTATGAATTTGTCTTAATAAAATTCTTTTTAGATGGAAAAATTCAAAGAAATAAACTAATAAACTCATGACGAAAAGTCCACAGCAGGAGATCTATTTGAAACCTCAACAAATATCAGGCAACTATGACAATAAAGAGGTACTCCACCCTTTTTGTTTGTCTGTCTTGTTGTTCATCTTCACCGGTCAAAATGGAGACTTGGAATACCAAATTTGTACCATATGGAATATTTAAGGAGATCTTTTTCACCTCAACTTACTTTTAAGACTGAGGGGAAAACCAACAATAAAAGGAGTATAGAATTGGTGTAGGTTATGCATGGGTTGCCCCAACTCCAACTCATTTTGAAAATGAGTTGTGCCCTTGTGCTGATGATCCGCTAGTTGATTCAAAATTTAGGTGACCAACCCTATTAAACTACTGCTGAAACCGGTCAGGTATCCAAAACACCAGCACAAGACAAGCCATCACACTTCCGAAGGCTACACAAGTTGGGATTTGCCTTCTTTATGGTAGAATTCTGATAACTACGATTGCTTCTCCGCTCAAGTCATCTCACGGCTAATACAGATTAGGACATTGAAGAAATTGCATACTAGGAGAGGAGTAAATATACTGTAACATCACTCACAGAAAAACAAATATAGTTTCTGATTTTGGAACAAATAGCAGGTGTAACAACTGACAACAGAGAAGGTCCATGAAAGATGTGGAATCCTTAAACATGAAACTCAAGCAATGTTTCCTAGGAGAATACCTGTTCTTCCTCTTTCGACATGTGCTGACAAACAGAAGTTTGCAATGCCCCAGTACAAGATGCCAGCTCTCGTGGAAAACTTTCATAGTTATGCTTCTCAGAATTTAAGAGCTCAAAAAGGTGGTCGAAAAGATCACTTTCACCTTTATGCTCTAAGGAGTATGTCTGTGCTACATTCTTCACACGTATATCGAGAGCTGGAAAGATCACCTGCAATTGTTATAATCATGCTATCATTTGTAGCAAAGGCACACACGAGGAGACATTTATAAAAGTAGAACAAACTATGAAACTAAGAAACATGCCAACTGCAATATTATGAAAACTAAAGTTTCAACAGCTTATCAGGCATGACAAAAGAAATTCAATCATCCACGGTAGTCTTTTTTTATAATCTAGAATGATTTCTTCACAAGTTACACCAAGATGATGTCAACTTTACAAAGAAGTATGCCATTAAGTATCCAGAAAATCACCCAACTGTCTATAGAAAATGGAACATTTACTCCAGAAGTACAGTTGAAACAAAAGACCTCGTTCAATTTTTATGTTGGTCTTCCTACTCGTTCAAAAGTCTTCATTTTCTTTCTTGCCAAATGATCCAAAATGCACAAAGAGTGTTGTCTTCCAAAATCGCGTCCTTCCTAGTCTCTATTCTCTCTTCCCTCCAATTTTCCATAACTTCCCCTACTTCTTTTAGAATGTACAAGCCATATTAAACAAAGACTACAAATGACCAGACAAATACTTTGGAAATTAAACAGTATGGGGTGAGTGTCATATAGATGGAATCTACATATCTAAACAGGACTTTGACATTAACCTCAAAATATACCAAGCCAATATTGCTTAATCTTTTTCAAAAAAAAAGAATCGAACAGACTACCAAATGGAAGTACAAGACGTCCACAAAATTGGCAATAACTAGCACCAAGGTCCACTATTTTAACCATTAGAACCATCATGGCATGCAACATATAAACCAGGTCAATCTATCTCAACAAGATGTCAACCCTTAATTTTCAGTAGAAGAAGTATGGATTTTATATTCTAATTGCCATATTGGCCTGATAAAGGGATTGCTTAAATGTAAAAACAGTCTGTTGGGCTTGTTGAAGATTCTTTTCCTCATGAAACAAGGTACAACATACTTAGCATTAGCTATAATCAGATTGCTCAAAAAAGAAATTTCATGAAAATGCAGCTAAGACCGTCATAAGAAGTGCCAAGAATTAACATCATCTCATATCTAAACAGTTCATTCGGGAAATGGAGTGAGAAGTATTGATTACATTAAGATGATAGTGTTTGCCAAATACAAAACAGAATAGACATTAATAGACAAACACGTAACCAAATCACTAGTCATAGGGAGACGCATAGAGCAGGGCAACAAATAACATGAAGCTCTCTAAAAATTCAACAGCAACAAGAAGCACACCATCGGAAAATGAAAAGAGCTTACAACAACTAGCAAGTAGCTTAATATAATGACTTAATTTGCAATTCCGTATACAGAAAAGACAATGTCACAGGCTTCAACTACGTTTGAGCAGCGAAAAAAATTAAATGCTATTGGAACTGACAAAAAAATAGAGATGTTAAAGTCGGACCTCATCCTCAGCATGGGAATGGTGCTTGTAAACTGATCTAAGAAAACGGTAACGCTTGAGCAACGGCTGTATGTCGGCCAATTGTCCAGTAGCATACGCTAACGCCGAACGGTGAAGTGCGTCAAGCTCCAGCCGAATTGCCTTGTGAAAGAAGAGAAAAAACAGAATAGGAGAATCCTGCTTGCTACTCTCCTTGTCCAAAACTCCGTTGGAGGACGAGGTAGAAGAATCCACGGCATTGACTGCACCACCACATAAAACCGCTACTCCTCCACCTCCTTCTCTTCCCTGAGCCGCCATTCTCCACAGTTCCTAACCCTAATTCCTTCAAAATCCTCGACAATTCTCTGTCTCTCTACGTCTAAATGTGCAAAAAAATGACTCTTTCTGCTTTCTCTTGTTAACCTTATCGTCCTCCGCAGGAAGGAAAAAAAAGAAGCAACAAAACACACACACACACACACTAAATTTTCTCTCTTCTCTTTCTGTGTGAATTCAGAGATTCTGTTGCAAGTTAGTTTTCTACTACGGAAGAAATTTGCATCCTTTTCCAGAAATCTCTACGTGCTTGACTATATGTGCATATATATATACGTAGTTAATTTTTGTTAATCTATATACGTAGTTAATTACTTACTATAAATATTTGTACACATAAATAAGAATAGAATTAGATGGAGATTACATATACTATTATTTATGATAAATAATATTAGGAGTAATGGAATTAGATGGAGATTTGGTTCGACGGCGAAAGGAAGGATTCCTAGTTGTGGATGAGAACTGGTGGAGTACTTTTCAGTAGAGTTGACCCGGACCCACGTGGCGAAAGATATAGCCACGTTGGTTTTACTTTGTTTGAAATAATGGCGTTTAAAGGTTAAAAAGGAGGGCTGATTTGTCGTTTGTGGCAGGCCCGCGGATAATACGCACAAAATAAGAAAAGTATTATGTCATGAAAAAAGACAAGTACAGAAATATGTGTGGATGAGGAACAAAAAAGCTTTTTAATGGATGAGATTTTATTGTTGATTACTTTTATTTTAATTAGGGAATATACTTTAGCAGTTTTTGAGGTTTGTTTACTGTTAATTGAATCATTTTAAACCATTTGACCTTAAATTTTGCAGAGGTGAGAGCACTCGTCAGTCCGGAGAAAGTAAATGCATTCATGTTGTTTTCACGACTCGAATCCATACAGGGTCCGGAGAAGAGTCGCACCCATAAAAACAATCACGGTTCGAATCTATGCAGGGTCCGGAGAAGGGTCACACCCATAAAAGATGTGATGTAGACAGTCTACTCTAATGCAAATATTAGTAGTTGTTTCCACGGCTCGAACTCACGAGCTATAAGTCACACAGAGACAACTTTACCAACTTCCCTTTATTTTGTGTTTTTAGTTGGTTTATTAATTTTCTCTTTAAAGTTGTCGTTAGCAAACGACAAAATTAACCAACGACAATATATAAAGAAATTCGAACAAACAAAACTTTCCATTTGGTCTGAAGAATGCATCTCATTTACCAAATGTATTCAACTCTCTTGGTCCCAAAACTGCCCAACCAACTGAGTTATTAACTGGCGAAATACGAAACTGGTAAATTACTATATAAAAAAAAGTGCCCCAAATTATATTAACCAAAATTGGAATCGATATAAGTCAGCAGTCCACTTAAATTACTAATAATGGGCTTCCGGATTCAAGAGACTAGAAGGACAAGCAATATCCGTTCTTTTAATCTCTTTTGTACTCTGAATTGAAAATAACACTTCTGTCTTTGGAAAAATTAATTTATAATATGTAAAGCACGCAAAAAGCTTGTGCAGAGTGTGTGGAACGGAATAGAATCACCTACTAACCTGTGTCTAAACAAAGTTAGACATTCGCTATACACGTTCTCAAATATTAAAACTTGTCGAAAACGCATACGATACTTGTGCACCTAATTAGAAAGAAAGAATCAAAGTTGTCCCTTTCACAATCAATGCGTTTACACTTTTCCGAGTAAATTATACATAAACACATTAAGAAAGAAACTAAATAAAATTAGAGTTCGATTAAAGAACAAGAAAAGGAATCCTATTAGAATAACCGTAATGTACATGTAAAGATTGACCAGCCCCAAAGAGAAAGGATTTACAAGCTCTCATTCTGGTACTGGAAGTTTCTTTATTCCTTCTTCACTATAATTCTAGTCACCAGACCAAGAGCAACGGTTCTTCCAGATGACCTGAGGGAGACCCTTCCGAGAGCTTTACAATTAGAATGCTCGTCGATGCAAACCATTCCTTGCAAAACCACCTAAACCATCACAAACAAGCTTATCGAAATGAGTTATCTTTTTACTGCTAATGAGCCAATTTTCAACCTACACATGGAGGCGAAGCGTATTAGCTGGCTCACCTCACCCAAAGAAAAAGAAAAAGAAATACACAAAATAAACATGATAGTTGGTTTTGTCAAAAACCTCAATGATAGCATTCTGCTTTGCCAGAAGACATCGAGGTGATTTCTTGGTCTCCTTTCCGGTCTTTGGATCAATCAATGACAAAATCCTCACAACTCGTGCAGCCTCTTTAACGTGGTGTACAAGAAACTCCAACTGCATAGTTGTAGATATCAAGTTCTCTATATTTATTAACTATACATAAGACATGGCACGGAAATCTCTGAAATTTTTCACAGCTATCAATGAATGGTACCTGAGAGCCAATTAAAATTGGAATGGAATTGTCCAGGATGAGAACCTTCAGTTCCAAATGATTTGCAACTGGAACAGGAAATTCAGGGTGGCACAAGACACCCCCCGCCATCACGTGATTTGCATCAATACCTTGTAGGTTGATAGTGACACTGTCTCCTGCTTTTGCACTGTTACAAACCTGAGAATCACGTTCCAAAGAACGCACCGTTGCCATTTCTCTTGATGGCATAAGTAAAACCTGGACCTGTTCACAATTCGGTGTTAAATGCATAGATATTAGTCTACCAAGTCAAAACAAATTTGCAGACATAAACCATTAGGTAAGAAATGACTCCCAAAAGCATCTGTTACATAGAGAAAGAAAGGGTACAAGAAAGGAATTCTTTAGTAGTCTCCAGTACCTCATTTCCAGTTTGAAGAGCTCCCCTCTCCAACTTACCGCATATTGACACTTGTCCTTGAGACTGTGCCCTTACAACATCACATATCGGCAATAAGAATGGCTTCGAATAATCTCTTTGAGGAAGTTGGAGAGAGTCTATTGCATCCAATAGGCAAGGACCTTGGAACCTGCAAGTTTTAAGAGTCATGTTCATACTTCATGAGTTTGTCAAGAATCAAGACAACAAGGGTACCTCAACTAATTTGTGTTAAGCCAACTAAATTTTTTCGATAAGCCAATATCAGTCAACTGCACCTCAATCCCAAATTAATTGGATTCAGACAATTGAATCCTCCATTTCCATTCCGCTCTATTCAAGTCTATTTCATTTCAATTCTAAATAATATATGAAGCAGATTGGAGCTTCTTAAAATTAAAAGTTCTCTAAATCTCAAACTTATCTATATAGGGATAAAGTTTTCTGACCAAATAGCACACTCTTGAAAAACATTAATCTAATGTAAGCACAATACAACTATTATCCAAAAAAAATGTAAGCACAATACAAATAAGCATTAATCTCAACTAGTTGATATTGCCTAAATGGATCTATTATTTTCAATGTATTCTTTTCTTAGCTAAATCGGCACTGATTCTAGAGATTGTAGGTTCTTTAAGACAATTTCCCTCGTCATTTTATGTCTGCCTCATCCCTTTCATCATCTGCAATCAACATATTGCGCGACCTACTAACTGGTGAACATGGAGGTCTATGCAGGATATGGTGAATAATCTCACGCGACATTCTATCATTTTGTTCTCTATGTGTGCTCTTTGTTGAAAGTGTCATCTGTAATCTGTATATATCTACAAAATTCATCTTGTGGATTATGTTGGATTTTAGAGGTCCAATATTCACTTCCATATACATTGTAGAACTACAATTACTAAGCACAATTTAACTCATTGCACAGTCTTCATCTTAACAAGTAAATTAGACCTTTAGGTTATTTATGTCTAGGAAGACTTTCGCTATTTTAAATTTCAGCTACCTGTTATCTAGTAAGGTTGTGCTTTCGTAGACCCACACACCCGAACCACAAAAACTGGGGGGGGGGAAGGAGGATGTTGGCTAGTAAGCTAACCAGGATGACAACCGTGCTTCTGATGGACCTGTCACCAAATTTTGGTTTTCCATGGCACTTACGGGAATCCATGCTACTGAAGAATCTTTAAACTTACAAGCACGGAGAAATGTGCCTAATTGTTTCTTAATTGCATTAAATCGTTCTTTGGAGTATCCCGCTGCGTCCATTTTGTTAACAGCAATTATAATCTGATCCACCCCAAAGCTTTTGATAAGTTGTGCATGCTCCCTCGTCTGACCTCCAGTAGCATCAATACCTGCTTCAAATGCACCTACTGAAGCATCAATTACAAGAATTGCTGCATCTGCTTGTGTTGCCCCTGATATCATATTTGGGACAAAGTCCCTGTGACCTGGAGAATCAAGCAGAACAACACGGTAACATTTTGTGTTAAAGTAAGCAACGCCCACTGTCATAGTTATTCCCCTCTCTCTTTCTTCAGCACTCTCATCCAATGCCCAAGCATAAGCAAACGGCCCTTTTCCCTGATTAAATAGACAATAGACTTGTCAATAACCTTGTAAAGATTTGAAAGTATCATACAAAAAGGATGAAGAATATTCACTCGTAGCTTGGCCTCTTTTTCATATTTGTGCATTTCTTTCTGGGAAATCCGCCCCAAAAGGTGTAGCAACCTTCCTGACAGTGTTGACTTCCCAGAATCCACATGGCCAACCTACATATTGAAAATTTTGCAACTAAAAAGCAGTGTAATATATATTAAATCAAGAAAATGTAAATGAAGGACTTACAATTGCAAGATTTAACTGGTTGAAGTTATCTTCTTTTTGAGGAGGCTGTACACCTTTCTGAGGCTTATTCTTTGAGCTTGATGTTGCACTGTCACTCTTTCTAGTATCCACACTGCGAGGCTTTGATGATATAGACATATCATTCAAGTTGCTTGTAACACCATCATTTCCCCTAGTTTTCGAGGAAGAATCACTATCCTTCAAATCATCTTTTGCTAATGATGTGTATGAGCTTGGATGCCCTTCAGCAGCCAAATCTTTTTTAACTTCAGTACTTAGTTGTTTGTTATTTGATGGGACATTTAACTGTAAGACCTTGTCAGTATCAGCTGAAAGGAGAGCAAGAAAGCAAATAAAAGATGTCAAACTCTCCAAAAAATAAAGGATATAAAACGCATAAGAAAACAGTTACACAACCTAGTATTCAATACAAACCTAGAAAAGGGTATTCGTGAACCCCAACCTAAGTTAGACAGGGAAAAGAAAAGGGGAAAAAAGGTTTCATGAAAAGCACTAAATTATCAATTCCACAGATATATCTAAATGAATTCTAAGACTTATATTGGGTTTACAAGAAATTTAGGCTAATCATACTGAGTTTATTTGCAAACCACTAGAAAAACTTAAAATGCCATGTATTTACTCACTCTTCCAAGGAGAAGAGTAAGAGGATAGTGGTGGACAAAAAAATACGGAGCATTTTGTGCAACCTGGAGGGAAGGAGCAGTAAATAATTGAAAAAACATGATTCACATCACTGTCCAGTTGCAATTCAGAGGGAACAACCAGACACCTTTGCTCCCTCACATAAATTCTCAAAAAAGAGAGATATCTTTTCGACTAGGAGGTCACTTGTAGGGAACCCTCCATCAAGGCTCCATCTTCGTCAACTAGGCCAATGGAATAATGGTTGATGCATTAATTCACTGATTGTAGGTATTTTCTTTTCAATTTCTAATTTATATTTGCAGTTAACTAAAGCGAGTGCAACCTCCGCCATTGACTCCACGGACTTCAATTCTAGAAGCACTCTTGCCCTAACAAGAGAACACCTTAAGGAAATAGGATGCAAGATAATTGAATCAGAAGCATGTATAGAGTACCTTTGGGACGTAATCTGGATGGTATTATTCCACTCAGTACTGAATCATCTGGAGACTGGGGGTCAAACTTGAAAGGTACTGCACCATCATTAGCATATGTGAGAAAATGAATTAAAAGCAAAGATCGCCAAATACCGAACAGAGATAGAAGTACCATAATGTAGCAAACACAATTTTTCAAGCAAAGGGGAGGAAAAAAAAAAAAGGAAGTGCACAATTTATGCCTATAGACTGGCATCCTGGGCTGGAGCATGTGCAGACCTATATCAATCTTGCAATGGCTTTGAGAGCAAAAAGCTGTGTGTAAATCATGAAAATGTCCACACATATTTCCAGGCTTGTAGAGGTTAAAGCAGTCTTCAGTCTTAAAAGAGTAATTCTGTGCTTCAAAATTTACAGCCTTTTTTGGTTTCTGAAGCAGCAGCGATGCAAACAGAGACTTCGCCATTACAGATGCTCCAGAATCTTTACATATGCCACCAACTGCATGGGAACCATCTACTCTATGAAGCAGCAAGCAGGACACACATGAAACAACAAGCAAAACAGATAAAACCTATATATAATGATGTAAAAATTGGTATTTTGTCCATATAAGATAGGGACCCTTGATAACCTGTAAAATAGGCAGACCAAGAACAGAGTGGAAAATGCCCAAAACCTTCAAATAAGAATTTCTCTGTAGAAGGTAGATAAATAAAGCATGAAATAACATTAAGAGATGGACTACCCATGTAATACTTCCATTTCCCTAGCCTCCAAAGAAAATGGTTTCTCATGTTCTGTAATATGCTTTGGTGCATAAAGCATGTAAGCAAAGCAGTTCACATGTTTACTAAATGGTAACAAATTTCATAGAGACAGCATACAAGTGCAGCAGTAGCTATAAATAAACCATGAAATAACATCAAGCAGAATGCAACCAAAGGACTACCCACAGGAACAGTTCCTCTTCCCAGCCCCAAAAAGAAAATGTTTTCTCATGCCCTGGCCCAAAATGCTAGTATTCATAAGTGTTACTATAGGGTAGTACCAAATTTCACAAAGAACATATATAGACCAGCAGACAAGTTAGCTATAAGGAAAGCATGAAATAACATCAAGGAGAATTGTAACCAATCCCATGGAAACAGATAAACAGTTCCCCTCTCACTGGCGCCCCCAAAAGAAAATATTTTGTAATGAAGATGGAAAATACACTTAGCAAAGCTGTATATAAGTGTGCTAAGCATAGTATCAAATTTCACAGAGACACACATATATAGACACTGAGGACAGGTTCATGAGTTGCTAACCTGCATTTTCTTTGCTGCCGGCACAATTTTTGACCAATGGATGACGAAGCACTCCACATATATCACATGCATTCATAGTATCTTCATTATCAAAAGTGCAAATGGGACAACGCCAAACGCCAGCGTTATCCAACTCCTGTTTTGACCTTGTTTCTGGTGGCGTACCTGTAGCAAATTATTAAAACACATATTGGTGGCGTACCTGTAGCAAATTATTAAAACACTATTTCCAGGACCTAAGATCATGGTATTCAACCATAAACATTTAACCATGCAAAGAAGAAATCTCATTGATATTTCCTGTGTTCTCTCATGTAACACAGTCTAACTGGCTGAGAACTTAATGGTTAAGCTGATTTATTTGTTATACTGATAAGCATAGAAGAAATTATAGTACTAGTTTAAACTGATTTAATTGTTATACCGATAAGCATAGAAGAAATTATAGTACTAGTTGCAAGCTTAGTGTTGTGAGGAAAACATTGCATTAAGGACCTCAATATAAATGGTCAGGAAGTTGCATAGGATATCATTATCCGTAGAAGAGTATCAAAAATTTTGGGATGTTCCAGCATGGGAAAAAAAAATTGAGACGCAGGGGATGCAACTTTTTGAGAGTCCTCCAAGAAGTTAAGCAATCATATCTGAAGCCTGGAAATAGTTTAGAGTAACTTTTTAAGTACTTTTATCCTTCTACTAATCCCAGTGAGTAGTACAGAGCAGCCCCACGGAACAACTACATGTTCTTCACCAACCTACTTCAAGAGACATAGTCAACAACGGAATGATAACACATTGATGGTGGCTGTAACAGTTCAGAGAAAAATAACACAATACAGCAAGTCATTGCAGTTTAATGGACAATACTATGAATTTCTACCTTGCAGAAATGAGTTTGGAAGTAAATAAAATACTTCTATTCAAGTATGGCATCGACAGGGGTAAGTCAGCATTACAAAAAGTAATCTCAGTATGATTAATGCCTTCTGCTATTCTTGTTAGTTAAGGGCTTGAGGGGAGATGGAGTGGAATTATGCAACCTCGAGGTCTTAAGCATTGGGAATCTCTCAAGCTCCCTAGAAAGGCTGAGGTACTCACCATCTTCCTCTGCATAACCGCACCCATCATCACAGTCATAACCATAATCTTCATAGTCATCAAAATCTTCCTCGTAATTAACTCCATAATTTACCTTACGAGGCATGGTGATCGTTCAGCTATGCCTAAACATCATGTACTTGAATGGTCGCTGTCTTGATAAATCAAAAACCAGATTATCAAAGTTGTGACATAAATGTGTAATCCCAGCAATTCCAACAGTAAAACAGAACAAAATTTTCCTTTATCACGCTGAAATAAAGTTGAATAAGAATGTAATTTACCTTGAAGATGATGATTTCATTTGGAAAACATCTCCCAACTGATTAAAGCACCAGGAAATCCTATCCCGATCCGTGCAGAAAATCCATAAAATCCATGCAGAAGCCAGGAAGACCTTCTCTGATTGTGCTGAGTGTGGGAGAAGAAGATTAAAGTTTCCTGTCCAACCAAAGAAGTGACTACATTGGAGAAAAAATTAAATTAAGTTTATTCATAAAGTTCATCCTATCTCCGCTCAACAAGTGACTCAGCTTTTCAATCCGTTGAAACAAGATCTCGGAAGTAAGATTAAAGAATTATGAATTCCAATAAATTTGCTTTGCAGGTTGATTTTAATGGATAAACAATGTCATATACAAGATATATCTGCCAGTTTCTGTGTTTATCCTCAGTATGTATATGGATGTCCATACGACATGTCTCCTTTTACTGTTTGTTTCAATTCCTTGGAAGAGCCGTGAAGTTTAAAAATAGAGTTGACTAAGAGCCCCAATATAGTAGAATCCACCTAGCTTGTCACCTTAGTAGTTACAAAAGTATAAGACCCAATGGCCACTAGCACACTAGAAACATGAAAAACTTAAGGGGATAGTTAATACCACCATTGTTGCAAAGCACGATATCCAGAGGATTGTTATCCCACATCCAGTGTGGGATAGTTAATACCACCATTGTGTTAGCTAAAACCCATAAAAACAAACATGGGATAAATACAATCCCAAATTCTATCACAGGATTATAGTCCTAATCCCGATAATCAAACTAGTGTTTAATATGTCAGAAAATATCTTCCGGAAAATAAGTAAGTCACTTTCTGAAAAATATTCCTGTGTTTGGTTTCAACGACAACAAACCCAGTACAGTCCCACACGTGTTTTGTTAGTGAACAGAAAATATTTCAGTGTTAAAAAATTTGATAGTGCTTTGATGAAAACTTTTAGTATTAAGGGGTTGATCAACCGTTTGTTGTGTCAAGACCGTAAAACTTTGTCTAGCCAATACAAGATGTAAGATTGTCCCTAAAAGACATAATTAGGTCAATGTATTTATTTTCCAGTAATGAAATAGTAATATACTGAATAACAAGAATACACAATGCAGGGGTACTATAGGCCAGATAAGTGAACCTGAGTGATATGCCATTATCTGTAACAAAATAGTAGTACTTTGAGCTTCCAAAGTAGTACATTGATATTAAAGTGTTAAAGAAGTGCCAAGTCAGGATAAAAGTTTTAGCATTCATAGTTTAGTCCTACTTTTTATGTTATTTTCATTAGTTACCCCACTAGCTAGTTCACGCTTTTATACTCTGTTAGGACTCATTGTAGAACATAACCTGAATGAAAAATTGATTATCATTTTCTCTGCATTTTCTTTCTTTTTAATTTTTGCTTTCTATTTTCATAGCGATTCCAACGTGGGATTCGTTACAATTGGCATCAAAGCCGACGATTCTCGACCCCAATTCCGTGACCATGTTCAACAAGGGTTATATCAACCACCGCAAGTCTTGGCTACCGCAACCATGGTTGATTTCCATTTTTATAGTTCACCAAATTCATACGGTTATGAGTATTACCATGCGTATTCACATCCTTACCTGTATCAGGTTCCATGTGTTTATCAGGTTGACAGCACCAATCCGGGGTGTTATTTGGTTCAATTTGTTGATGGTTCAGTGGTGTCGATGAGCGCCTCGGCACTAGACGACCTGCTGAAGTTTAGCTATGATAATTTTGAGACCAACGAAGCAACTCCAGGGAAGGTGATTCATACAGTTCATTTTTCTTCTGTGATGGATTCATTTGGCTCTTTTTCTTTCGAAACCCTAGGCCCCAAATCAGAGGTTCTGTGATGGATTCATTTGGCTCTTTTTCTTTCGAAACCCTAGGCCCCAAATCAGAGAACTCTGATCTCACAACATTTTCTCTACCCTCTCGATACTCTAAGCACAAAAGAGGTGCCACCGGCGGCAAGAAGAAAGCTCGGAGGAAGAAGCGCAAATATGAGCTTGGTCGACAATCTGCTACTGCCAAGCTTTCGAGAAAAAAGAGGGCCAGGCGAGTTCATGTACAAGTTAGCAATAGTGAATGGGCGACCAAGTTTACTGTTGGCAGGGAAATACTGAAAGAGGAAATGGTGGAGGAAGGAAATGGAGAAATCGAGGTTCAGGTGTTCGATAAAATTTCTCAAAGGGATGAAATCTATATGACGGATAAGCAAGAGGATGATAGTGTTGGGAATAAGTCGCTGGAGGTTGAAGAAGATTTTGAAAGTAGTGGAGGTGTCTCTATTGCCCTTGATGTTGCATGTGAATGGGAGAGGATTTATGCACTAATTTGTATTGACTATAAGGCTCATTTGGTCCACATCAACGGTGATAGGGATGCAGTAGCATTGGAAGATAAGAAAAATTTGGAAAACAACGGAGATATCTTGGTTGACTTTTCTGCTATCCGGGAACAGGAGAAGGTTTATCAGCCTTTCATAGCTTCTGTTACTGAAGGACTTAATCTCTACATTGCGCAGTACCTAGTTCCTTCTTTTGATATTGTCTCTAATGCATATGATATTTCCAGTTTCATCGGTGATTTAATGAACAATTTGGTTGTGAAGGGTGATGGAAAGTGCAACTCTGAAGGTTGTTCCAAATTTCACCCATTGATAATATCATCCCTCTTGAACTATATTTACTGTGATAGCCTTATTGAGCCTCCTCCATTAGGTATTACTTCATCTAAGTTGGTGGAAGAGGTCAATAATTTCAAGCAATTAGTTGTCAAGTTGAGTAATATGGATGAGTTTAAGGTTGATTTGATACCTAACAAATATGATAATTTTCAAGGATTGAGCTGTTACCTGCAAAAGTTTACTAGAATCAGAACTTCTAGTAGAGACACTGTCAGGTTTGGTAGTTACAATGATCTATATGAGAGCATTTTTTACTGATAATATGTGTCTCTACGATAATTTCGACAGTCATATATGTTGTTGGTTTGATACTTGGCCAAGTGTAAAAGTTAGTAATTTTCCCCTAGCTTTGTTTGAGATTATTTTGATTGATACATATACGTATATCAAAATAGGCTGGCTGGACAAGGGGAGAGGGATATTCAACAGAATGATTGTCAGGAACTTGCTCATTGCTGGTTATAATTGTCTTATGATGTGCATTGGGACTTTTGGATCACTTGTACCTCGAACTAACATCTATGTGAAGCCACATATAATAAAGCATGTTGAGGCTCTTTTACTTGTTTTTAGTTGTTCTAGAAGAATAGATCCTTGGCGGATGATTTCGGAATCAGTTAGTGGAGATTATATGGTGAACTATCGAGCTATGTACTTTAAAGTTCCTGGTATTCTTGTAATGGCACATTTGGCATGTGTCGAGATGGCTAAGGTCGCTGATTTGATTGCTTTTGTCATTTCTGCTAGCTCCACTGATGAAGAAGATTGTTATATTGTTTTATTTGGATCTCACTTCCTTTCTGTCTTCAGAGCTCTTGGTCTTCCTAGCACTGCGATATTGATTGGTGATCTGCTCAGTAAGTTAAAAAAGAAAAATAGTTCAACTAATGCAGGTGCATCTAGCCTTGCTTCTAAGTTTCCAGGAGATTGCAAGTTTCACCCAGCAGATACAAAGGATGAGTTGCATGAATTCTTATGGTCTTTTAAAGAGCAACTGCTCTCAATACCTTATTGGCATAATCAGCGACCATGTCTAATGGCTCAAAACGTAGATATAGCTGACTTCATTTCAGAAAAATGTGCACTCCTCTGTGGTTATAATTGTAAATTGTAGCATGTCTATGAGTCAGCTGGTTCACATAACAGGTGGGGGAGATTTTCATTTATCAAGGATCAAATTTCTCAAGGATCCAGACAAAAGTTTTGGTTACAAATATGATGCCTCACTTTATTATGAAATGTCATTAGAAGAAGAGTTAGTTTTTGTGCGTCAGTTCAATGCTTGGAAGGTAAAAATGATAGTAAGTAAAATTCAAATTAAAAGAAAAGAAGCCGAACTGCGTAACAAGAAATTAGGAAGAAACACACATAATTGACAGCATAAAATTACTCAATTTGAAGAGGGAAATCAAGTAATAGTTTGGGTTCAGACCTTTGATAAAACAAGGCAGTGAGCGGAGGATAAAGAATTTCGAATCGTAAGCTTACCGCTGTCAACTCCGGCCAAGAAGAAGAATCGGAACAGTGTCGAGAGGTGTGATTTTGCTGTAATCCCTGGACAAACCTTTCTTGCTTCCTTTCTTTTTCTTTTCAATTTGTGAAATTCCCTAAATACGGAACTATATATATGCAAAGAAAAGGTACAAATATGCCTTATACCATAAAAAATTGAGCATATTTGTAGTTGTTAATATTTTAGCTCAAGAATACCCTTATCGTCACATAGTTAGTCCATATATGTCCTTATAGTCACACAGTTAGCCCATATATGCTCTTTTTAAAATGGATTCCATCCAAACTAATTAGCTCTTTCGTTAATTATATTAAAGTGTATTACAAATACTATTTCCTTTTTATTAGTACTTTTTTTATTTACCTTTCTCTTTTCTTTCTTCTTTTTTTCTTTTCTTCTCTTTTTTTTCCTTTTTCTTTCTCCCTTATCCGATTTACTCCATTGCTGATATCTTCTCCATTTTCGTCACTAATTTTACTTGACAAAACTCATGAATTCCAATTACTAACAAAATTATCCCATAAGAATATTTTAATAGATCATATGTTTGTCAATTTTTTAATATTTACTAAACATGTATTTAGTTATAAAAAATTCAACAAAGTAAAATTGAAATAATATTTATGTAACAAAAAACCCGAAAAAATCCAACAAAGCCGAACCAATCCAAATCGATATAATTCACCCGGTCCATATACACCCTTAATTTACATAGTTAATAAAAAAATAGAAAATATCCAGCTGAAAAAAGACTAATAACTCAAATTTATTACACTAGAACTTGAACTCTAGGCTTTTAATCATTAAATTATCTTTCTGGAAACAATTTAAATATTTTGGTCTTTTGAGTATTGTTAAAGGTTGAGATGTTTTTATTATTTTAAAGTTTAAACCATAATTTTTGGAATAATTTAATTTCGTTTATTTAGAGGGCCCGTGAAATTGGAACTTGATTACCTTATGCGAGAATTTTTTTAGTAATTAAAATTCATGAGTTTTGTCAAGTGAAATTGGTGACGAAAATGAAGAAGACATCAGCAAGGGAGAAAATCGGATAAGGGAGAAAGAAAAAGGAAAAAGGAGAAAAAAAGAAAAAAGAAGAAAGAAAAGAGAAATGCAAAGAAAAAAATGTACTAATAAAACGGAAATAGTGTTTGTAATATACTTTAATACAATTAACGAAAAAGCTAATTAGTTTGGGTGGATTCCGTTTCGAAAAGGGCATATATGGGCCAACTGTGTGACTCTAAGGGCATATATGGATCAACTATGTGACGGTAAGGGTATTCTTGAGCTAAAGTATTAACGAATGACAAATGTGCTCAATTTCGTATAGTACAAGGGCATATTTGGACCTTTTCCGAAAGGAGAATAATGTAATTGGTTAACGGAATTGCACTTTTGGACCTTTGGTTTCTAAGTTATTAGCAAATGTTGATCTTGTTGCTTATAATAGTTGCCTAAGCATATTTAACCTTTAATCTATATCTATCTATCTATTTTCTATATTATTATCTATCTATACTATATTAAAAGCACGAAGGCCTTAGCGAAATGTCGTTCGCATTTTCTACCCTTTAGAACGTATTTTACATTGGATAAAATTGTAAAATCCAAAAACCTTTCCTAATATTTAAGATTTCTAGATCAAAGAAATTTTTTCTAATATAATTTAGTGTGTATCTTCTCCTAATAAGGATATAAAATATTAAGACAATCAAAGAATACAAAAACAAGCAGGAGGAAAGTTTTTTGTTAGTTTCCAACATGGAAACTTCACGATTTTGTGTAATATATTTGTTCCTTGTCATCGTTTAATCAAAAGGACCAATTTTACCTTTTTATTTTCCTTTCATATGATTTATTTGTTGTTTTTAAAATTTAAATCATAAGTATTTTTTAAGAAGCCTGGTTATCGTGTATTTCTATTCTAAAATTTTAATACGGCATTAGGTTTTGAAATAGTAATTGTTTTTTGAAAAAATAATTTGTGATAATAAAAAATTAATTACCGTAATTTAGTTTATAGAAATACCTAAATTACCTCAATGCATATTCATGTCAAATAGTTGAAAAGGGACTTTTATTTTTTGGTAAAAAAAAAATTAATATTATTACTAAGAAAGTTTATAACATAATTTAACTTTACAAAATAAGAATTAGTTACGAAATTCATAATGTAGCTGATAGGATTTTTTTATAATCTGTCACTAATTGTGTCACTGAATAAGATTAGCGATAAATTTTTGTTATTTGACTACATAATTTGTCCATCGCTAATTTTTTTTTTCTTTTTGTAGTTGACTTATCTAGAATACATTTGTAACGACTCAACTTGTCGTTTTGAGTAATTATTCTCCTTTATACTATTTGAAGTCTTGAATAGCTTCATACGATGTATTATGACGTGTGTGAATCGTCGGTTTTGATTTTCAAGTATTTCGGGATTAGTTCGGAAGAATGAATTTCATGTTGGAAGCTTAAATGAAAAGGGTTGACCGGAGTTTGACTTTTATGAAAATGACCCCGGAATAGAGTTTTGATGATTCCAACAGCTCCGTATGGTGATTTTGGACTTAGGAGCGTGTCCGAAAAATTATTTGGAGGTCTGTAGTTAAATCATGCTTGAAATGGCTAAAATAAAAATTTAAGTTGGAAGTTTGACCGGGGAGTTGAATTTTTGATATCGGGGTTGAAATCTAATTTTAAAAATTTGGAATAGGTCCATTATGTCATTTATGACTTGTGTGCAAAATTTGAGATCAATCGGACTTGATTTGATAGGTTTCGTCATCGAATGTAGAAGTTGGATATTTCTAGTCGGTTTTGATGCCGTTTCTTCAAGATTTAAGTTGTATCACATTAAGAAAATGAGCTCCAAATTCAGTTTTGATTAAAACATTAGATCCGTATTGAAATTACGGAGCCATAACAAAAAGAATCGTCGAATTCGAACATCGTATGAGAGAGTTATGCCTATTTCTGTGTCAAGAATAATTTTCCGTCGCCGCGAGCGCCCAGGGTAGCGTGGGGCACTAGCCCTGGCACTGTGAAATTTTGGAATTCTGGAAATTACGCCACAGGCAGCGCCCCACGCTACCTGTGGCGCTCGAAATTGTTGAGTCCCTATAAAGGGGGATTTTCAGCCATTTTTGACAAAAATAAAGTTGGGGAGTTCAGTTTAGGCGATTTTCACATGTAAACATTGGGGTAAGTGTTCCTTATCCTATATTAATTATATTTCATGATTCCATATTCATTTACATCATGAATCCGTGAATTTATGGAAGAAAAAATAATTTTTTATAAAAATCTTCCAAAAATGTAAATGAAGATTTGAAGGTCAATCCGATGTCGGAATTCAATAATTTTTGTATGGTTGAACTCGTATCGGAACTAATTTTCGGATTTTATGAGTTTTTTGGGATTCGAGACGTGGGTCCCACTATTTATTTTTGAATTAATTTTGGATTTTTATTGTAAAATTTAGCATTTTCATATGGAATTGATTCTTATACCTCATATTGATTGTATCAAATTATTTTGACTAAGATTCGAGGCATTCGAAGGCCGAATTGCGAGGAAAATATTTATTGGAATAAAGAGTTTGCTCGGATTGAGGTAAGTAACTCTTCTAATCTTGGAGCTGAGGGTATGAACCCTGATTATACGTGTTACGTGTTTGGTGTTGAGGTGACGCACATGCAAGGTGACGGGCGTGTGTGCGTGCACCGTGTGAACTGTGACTCCGTTATTTCGGTGGTACTGTGTAGTTACCTGAACTTATTAGAAATCATGAATCTCTACGTACTAGAGTTATCGAGCTGTGATTCATGTTAGAAATCATGTCTAGGCTATATGCTTATCCTGATGGGACCAACGAGGTCATTACTGCCGTTGAGTTATTTTCTTACATTGCAATTTCATACTCAGTCATGTTCATTCATTGCATATCATATCTCAGTCTATGTTATTATTTAATAATACATCATATCATCATTTTGGGCTAGTTTCATGACATTGTGAGCTTGAGAGATTGATGACTGAGTGAGGCCGAGGGCCTGATTTGAGGATTATTATGGGATCGGGTTGCACGCTGCAGCAGGCCATATTGGCTTTATATATATATATATATNCGCCGAGTGCCGAGTGCGAGTGCCGAATGATTGGGAGAATTGAGTGACTGTGAGGACTGAATGACTGGGAGAACTGAGTGAAATGATACTCTGAGAGTATGCATATGGTTTTATCGCTAAGTTGCATCGCATTGACATACACATTTGACATACAGACATATAGATGCATTTTTCTCATACTGTACGACATCACGTCATTCATGACTTCTCACACATATTGGCATATAGGCATATTGATGTATTTTTCACTGGCTATGTGGAAAAAAAATGAAACATCTTATTTATTGTTGAAAGGAATTTTGAAAAAATTACTGTTTTCAAATTTACTCATATTTTTGGCAACTTTTGTAAAAGACATGAGTTTTCACTGATACACTTGAAAGGCAGAGCTATTTTTAGAAATCATGATTAAGTTGAGCATGTTATTGTTGAATTAGTACTTGTGCTGCTTTAAATTATATTGTTATGAAATGTAATTGGCTATTGGTGTTGGACCCTGACTTGTGTTCCAGCTCGTCACTACTTTCAACCTAAGGTTAGGTTTGTTACTTATTGAGTACATGGGGTCGGTTGTACTCATACTACACTTCTGCATCTTGCGTGCAGATATTGGATGTTGATGTTGCTGTGATTGACGGGAGCTGGATTTGAAGATGTGCCTGTGTTCCGGTTATAGATGCCTTTTGTTCATGATAGCCTTAGATTTATAAGAATCTATTTATGTACATTTCGAATAGATGATGTATTTATTTTATACCAATTTTATAAATTCTAATCTTAGAAGCTCATGATTTGTACTACCAGTCCTTGGGGAGTTTAATAGAGTCAGTTAAATATTATTTGAATCAGATATTTGTAAATTGGCTTACCTAACGGGTTGGGTTAGGTGCCCTCATGGCTAGTTGGATTTTGGGTCGTGACAAGTTGGTATCAGAGCTCTAGGTTCATATGTTCTA